ACTACTTTAGTCATCAAATTACATTCTACAAACATAAAAAATACGTGCACGTATCATGTTACGTTTCACGTAAAAATTTTTCAAAATTTGCGTGGACAGAAAAACTCGCAAAAACGAGACTGTAGTTGCAAATTTTTTAAATTTCCACTGCACTGCACCAGAAAAAAAAATTTCCTGACCCAAAAAGTAATACGAGCACAAAAAGTAGCAGCTACAGCTCTTCCGAAACATTTTTCGACGGACCAGCCCCAAAGGGATCTTTTATTTACTTAACCAGATCGAATCGAGTTCATATTTATCTGACTCCCGTTTTAAGCACGATATAATATATGTTTAAAGTTTCCTTCAGAAAATTACCCACATAAAACAAACCGACCGTCTACGTGCCTTCCTTTGCCAGCTAAACGGTTATACCTGTTCCCTCAGGACTCATCTGTTTAGCGAATTTCTCACATTTATGATACGCATCTACTGGAAAAAACAAGGGTTTATACTTGATAGATCGTATTACTCAAGATGTATATGCTTCCTTTTCTTCCTTCCCTTCTTCATAAATATAAATTTATTCTCATCAGATTACGCACTTGCGGTTACACTGATTTCAGGATTCATCTTTTATTTGTATCCTTCTTGCACGCCAGTATACGAATTAACATGGTAATTTTACAAAACGTTCCTCATATGAAATATTACATTATTATTATATTCATTAGAAATAAGTTGCAGCATGTTTCGAGCTCATCCTCATTATAGGATACAAAAGGACTATTCGTGATTGTTTGATTTGCGATAATGACCTAAGAGGTTAATATACTTATTCACAGTATGAAATTAAATGCTTTAGGCAGTTATTCTCTCCCCTATAATTGGTAATGCAGGTTTTGTTACGAAAATGTTACCATTCTTGGATGAAAATCCAACTCGGATAGAAAAAAAAAAAAATAATAATAATCAATAAAAATTTTATTATTTCTCCAAGTTACAACTATTTTGATTAGTTTTGGCTAATTCTTCTAAAGCTCTACCACATATCAATCGTACACTTCAATTTGTAAGTTTTTTTTTTCTTCGCTACTTGCTTCGTCGCAGTTGTCACGTGTTGTGCATCGTTGTTGAAGGCCCTATTGTTGCTACCACTGCTCTAATTGTCACGGAGAACCACGTATCGCATAATACAGTAACAACCAACGCATAATACGGGGTCGACGCAGTGGTGACAGCTACACCAGATCGTAACGGTCTCACCCGGCCAGGTCACGTCACAGCCGTGCATTGATAGCAAAACGTCGCTCCATCATCATCATCATCATCTCTTCCCATCCTCTGCGCCACAGAGCCGCAACAGCAGCAGCAGCTCTCGTCGAAAGCACTCGGGCAAGAATTCTGCGGTACACCGAGTTGCCACAGCACTGACAGCCAAACACGTCACACGTACATATGCATGGACAAGCCAACATGTTTATTTACGTGATTAAGTTGCTTTTTGGCGCGAATGTACATGACACCGTGCAAGCGCGGATGGGCTGCAAGTGCAAGCCAACCTTGTACGCGTTACGTGCGGCAAAAAGTTGGACGAGAAACTCGAGTCGTTTTTCTGCTTAGAAAGCTGTCGTCTGACTGCATTTTCAGTATAAGTATATCCAGGATGGATCGGTAGACGCGGGCGTGCTTTTTTGCTCGCGCGGATGAAATGATCCCGCAGCGGTGGTGGCTGTTACGCCGATTCAGCTGTTAACTTTACAGTGTACGGTGCAAGGAAAAATCGAGCACCTTGAATCGAGCGAGGCGAGTCGGCGTGGCGTGTCGATCTCGGACTGGCTGTTGTTTTTTTTTTTTTTTCACAGAATACATCAATCACCTGTCGCAAGCGTTTTAGAGAAGCAGGAACGAGAGACATTTACGAAGTCACGAATTGTCTGTGTGTGCACACGCCAGAGAGGAAGATTTTTACTTGAGATGTGTACGCTGAGTTTGGGAGCGATATGTGACAACGACAGGTGGAGGATTATTTATCATTCCTAAAAGGATAATCAATCATGAAGATGATTTTTTTTTCTTATGTTCGAAATAATGGAACTTGAAACTCCTACCTGTTATCCCGAAAATCGTTTGACTTGTACAAAAGATTAGTTATTTAATCGGTATCTAACGTTTCTACGTACCTCAAGTAAATATAAATTATTCATGACTCTTATCTTATCTTAAGCTATTGAAAGTTTAAAAATTATTGCTCATCACGTTTTTATCATCGCTTTCAACGCTAATCACTGTTTATTGTTTACTCAATTATTTCCATACTTCTTGTCAAAACTTGAATATTTCTTAGAAATTCACTGATAATTTAGAAATTTATACTAATTACAGATCATCATCACAAAATAATTCATTTTTGCGGCTTAGCGTTACTTAGCTGACATCGTCACTATTTCTTATCATTAATTTCGATAAAGTTTCGTTTATTACCCCGAATTTACTTCAAATTGCTCATTGATGCTCAACAATTTTCACGATAACGTATCATTACTCATCACTGCTGATATTGAAGTGTTGTGGTTTATCACAAGTTAATTATAGCTCACGAATGTTAATCATACAATTATCATTGCTCGTTAACTGTCACTCATTAACTAATATTGGAAATAATGTAACATTGATTAATTGCTGTTTGTAATGAGTTCATTACTCTCGGATGGTTATCGAAACCGTTCCTAGTACGTCCAATCACAGTTAAACACTTAAGATTACCTATTTCGGACTATTATCGCTCAGTATAGCCTATCATTATTTATGTTATTGTTCATCGTTGGTGACCACTGGAGCTTGTCGTAGTCTATTATTCTTATCTCTATACTTATCATCATAATTACCATTACTTAAGATTGCATGACAAAGCTTATTATGTACTTGTTTATTCCTACTAATTTATATCGATTTGCACTATTTATATCGATAAAAAGCTCATCGTGTCTTGTGATAGTTTATCATCGTTTCACCTGTACACTATACACGGGTAAATATAGATCTTGTGGGAGATTCACGTGTAGAAGTAGTCGCAAGAGCACCGGCCAACCCAAAGCCAGGTGGGAGATGAATTATAAAGCGACCGCAGCTCCGGTGAGAGGTTTCGCGGTGCCGTGCTCTCCTGTACCGTACACCCGAACGGTCACCACCTCCTCCTCCTCTTGTATTTGCTTTCGCTCTCCGTTAACTAGACCACCACCACCACCACTCTCTGCCCTCACAACTCTGCTTCTTGTACAATCGTGTACCTATACCACTCGCGAGTGAGTAAATGAATGGGCAAGTGTACACACTTACAGAAAAGAGAAGGAGGCAAATGAAAGGGGCGGGGAGGGGGGCACAATGAGCACTCAAAGTCCTTCTAAATAATCGCCGTTTCCTCGACTCGACTAGCGAACGAATCATAGCGCATACAAAGTTCCCGACAGTTATCCCGCGCGGGCGCGTGCGCTAGTCCTCTCTCGGTACACATGGACGCAAAATCCGCGCTCGCCAGTTGAAATGGATCGATCGGGCTAATAGGAAATGCGCGGATGTGAATTGTAGTTTCGGCTCCCTCTCCCTTTCTCCTTGATCGGCTTCAAAATGTTTTACGACTCGCAGTCCGGCCAAAAGTTTTGATTAACGACTTGGCCCCGGCCTCCCCTCTATAGGGTTAATACTTCCGCGGCTCGTCCGCTCGCCCGGTGGTATTGTTGTTCGCGCGAGTGTAATGATATGCAATTAAATACCCGAGAAGCGGGGCCGGCTCTTCGGATTCGCGTATTTGTTGAGCCCCGCTGACTTTCTAATTGGACGGACGTGCCGCGGTGCCGGTAGCGGCGATCGAGATACATTCATCGCGGAAAGAGCACTCCTCCACCTTCAAACACGATGTTTTTCCACCGGCACTTTGGACGACTGCTGCTCTGGCGCGTAAGTATATTTTAGTGCTCCACGAGCCAATTGACTGGTGTTGATATCCCAGATAGTGGGTGTTTAATGCATTTTGGTTGAACGTGTCTACCGTGCCCAGGTATATATTCATTTGTGTGACGTTGCGTCCTTCCAATGCCTATTATCTACCCCAAGATAAATAAATTAAACTATACGTTGCTACAAATACTGCGAGAAATCGATATCGTGTGCGAACAATCGTGAAAAAGCTATACGTCATTGCACTAAAGTGTACTACCGTCATAAAATTAATTGTAAAAAAAAGGAATCAACAATGAATGAAAAATATAAAAAAATTTTTAAGTAGACAAACCCATCCATCGTAGTTGAAAAAAGGGTGGAAGCTACCCCTTTGCTTTTCAAACAGCTTTTCCCAGCTTTTTTAGCCAACTTTGTTTTTCAACCATACCCGAGAGACCAAAAATACTAATTGCTCGAATTGCCTTTCTAATTTTTCAGACCGACCATCAAGCGTGCACGCTGCCAACTACGGAGATCACGAACCATCAATTCCTCCAAACCAATTAAAATCGCCCAAAGGAGCAGAGAGTCCTCGATCAGCCGCAATCTAAAGCCTTTTGGAATATTCACGACCAGCGAATCTGCAATTCTCCGAGCAAAACTAGTATTGCCCGTTGTACCCCAGGATATGGCAGTCAAGGTTCGCAGGATCCTGTCGTGACTCCGACTCTATACGAGTGTTAAAGCGTCGAGTGCTTGACCTCGCCGAGTCCCTGGACTCCAACCAACAGAGCGTGGACGCGAAAAGGCAAAAAAAAAAGAAATAACAGAGTAATAAAGAACAATAGCTGAAGTTGCAAATTTCGTCTCCGTGGAGTCGTAGCTCGTGCACATTCAGAGGAGGACTTTTCATCTCTAACGCGACATTCAGTGTATGGTGAGACCTGCACCAAAGGAAACGCCGCGTCGGTGTGTAATATTACACCTACAAAAGTACACAGTATCACGATGGTCTATTAGCCGTGCCCCGCGCACATTTGTATAACCAGTATACAGTTTGTTGTTCGGGGGTGAGGATTAAGATGTCGTACAACCTGTCGTTCGAGCCGCAGTGCCGGGACCCGTACCTCGGCCCCAGCCTGGCGCAGACCTGCGTGGGCTCGCAGTTTCTCGTGTTCATGACCATCCTCGACAGCCTCGTCCGGGCGAAGCGCGAGGTTTCACGGCTCTGCGAACGCGTCGCGCCCACGGATCCTGCGGACTACTATTACGACTTCATCGTCGTCGGCGGTGAGTACAAGTGCACGGAGAGAGTTAATGTGTTTTGCGCTACGACAACCGCCGAGAGTGCACGAGTCACGGGGCTCTCTCTACTACACGTTTATGGGCTGTCTTTGCAGCCACGTGTGTGCACATGAATATGTACACGTACCGCGTGTGTACTTGGCTTTAGCACGTGCCGTGTACGGCGAGTTGTCGTCGCGGGACTTTGGAAATCGAAAGTTATCTCCCTCCACGGTGGAGGGACACGGAAAGTCCGCTCTGCACATTCCAATTAGAAGTTTGATTACGCGTATTAGGCGTGATTTACGCGGTCGGCGATACAACGTACGTTTGCTACGGTGCGAGTCACGAATATTTGTTTACGAGCGGGTGTAGCCAACGTGCGGTTTTCTCGTGTATAGGGTGTACGTGATGGTTGGAGTCACGCAGTGGGGCGAAACGAAAATTGGATTATGCGTGTAAGGGCTCGAGGACGCGTGTTTGTACGAATCGATACCAAGCTCAACATGGGGAATTACGTAAATACGACTTGCAAGCTGATTTTCGTCAATGCTCGTTTGTCGTTACTTTTGTTTATGGCTTTTTCACATTTAAGGTGTATACATTTTAACGCACGCAATTTTTGTTTTATTTTTTTGTTAGAAGCACTTGATCCAAAACTTTCACGAAGTAACTGGATTAAAAAACTTGGTTCATAAAACTGTACGTTTTTTCTATGCATTTTGTATAATTTTTTTATGCATTTTTCAAAAAAACAGTGTCCGTATCCAAGAGATTCATCAATTTTTCCAACTATTTCTGGATTATCGCTATCAAAGATAAAATTTAAAAAAAAAGAAGACTAATAACGGACAATTTTCCTCCATAAAACGGATTATTGAAACATTAATAACCAATCCCACCAAACAAGTTCAAAGCACACACAGGTTGCTGTAGCGAAATTGCAATCACCTTAGTTTAATGAAAAATTGATGGCGGGATGAAAAAGTAGAGGCGCTTTATACCATGAAATTGAAAAAATCTCCCACTGACTCGATTCTCCTCTCCATCAGATTGAGCTGGATAAATTTGCACAGCGCTTCACTTATAGAAAAAAAAAAAAAAAAAAAAAAGCCACGTACACGTATCAAAGCCCATCTCGATTTACTGGCAGATAAAATTTTTCATCCACTTCGGAGCAACAGAAACGAGCGGTAGCGATGTCCACTTTACCCAAAAACGCTGCTATTGTTTTATTATCTCCCATCGAATTTCATTTGTTGGGCCCGCGTATTCATTACTCCATTATCCTTTTCATCGTTCATTATTATTGTTTTGTTTCACCCTCGAACTCTCCCGTGCAGGCAAAGGGGGGCACAACATAATTAACGTCCCTTCGCAAAGAACCGAGGAAAATTTATCGAACTTTCCGGCAATCATTTCTCAGGGACGAGGTTATCGAAGCTGACCTCGCGTTTGCCCAAAGGCTATACCATCGCTATTAATTTGTACGCCGCTTATATTTACGAGTATTCGCGTATACATGTACATCCGTAGAGCTAACCAGAGTCGAGAGTTTGGGAGCAATGGATCGAGTTATTCATTGAATCGGCAGGATTTATTGGATCTCGGTGAATTGATTATACGTCGGCGTACCAGGAGAGCATTAAAAAGTAAGTGGTGTCTGCGACTCGACTCTGTGCCATGATTGAGTTGTGTTAGGCTAATGATAGTTGTCAAAGTGAGTTTTACTTTTCATCGACGTTTCACAATTTTTATTTCATTCTAAAACCATACAAAGTTTTGTGTCTGCTGTGATTAAATATCATTATGATTAATAATTCTATATTCAAACAGAGCAAATGAAGCAAACGAGTCAATGTTTCCCTTTCTCGATCAATATTAACATTCGATCAACGCAATTACTTGCATTAGATAGCTGTAAAGGGGCTATACCTTTCACTCCAAGTTATGTCAAATTTTTTTTAATTCCACTTGCAAGTTTATTTCGACATTTAATTACCTAATGACATAAGTGTAAAACGAGTAGAATCATTTAAATTATCAATAATCTCTAAAACAGAGTATACATGTAACAATGCAATCATCCCTCAAAGTAACGATGATTCCAACAAATATTCACAATCGCTCAAAATAACACTTGAAGCGCTTGATTTTCTGCGAGGACGAGAAAAAAAATCCAGGGTGCAAATATTTATTCGACAAATCGAATGCCGTGCCTCGGGAACTCCGCTGAAGCAGTTGTCTGACCAATACTCGGCTTTTTCTCGTCATGTCCCAGCGGCCGGAAATTACATCGGCTCGTGCGTGTAGTCCGCTTTTCTCTCCCGACGACAGCATAAGGGACGTTTGCAAGGATAAAAAAAAATCATTGGCTAGGGATCCCCCTGAACCGCAATTTTCTAATCATAGAGTGTAATTCCTCTGATGTCCTCTCTTTATAGGCTCCTCTTTGTCGAGTGTGTGCGCGCATGTGGCAGCGTTTTACGAATCGCGATGCACGAGGTCACCACGTTCACTGCGAATAACTACATAGCACGTATTTCGTAATTAGCCCGATAATAATAATCACATTCTCTGATATACTGTTGGTGCACACGAGAGAGGCTGTATGATATAGTTACGTTGAATAGATGATTCTTGACGCGTTGAAATCTCTTTGGGCAAAAGCACTGAGGAGGTGGAATTACGGAAGGACCATTTGGCCATTTAAGATAAAGTAACTTTATACAAAGTGTTGGTTAAAATCATTCGCTAAATCAAATAAAAAATACATACAGACTCAGACTAGAGGCACAATTGACGCGGAAGGTGTTATAAAAAAAAAAATATATATATATAAATAAATAAAATAAAATAAAAAAGAAATAAAGAAAGTCAGGTCGAAAGGATTATTTTTACGGTAAACTTGAGAGCGAGTACATGCAATACCTTTCTAGTTACTTCGGGCATTGTTTGCCATCTCCCCTCTATTTTCCAGAGGTGCACGATCAAACGTAGCAGTATACACCGGGTAGAAATCACAGAATAAAGTCACGGAGAGGCCCATGTCAACGAGGATAACCCCTATCGCCCTCTCGGATCTATCCGACTGTTCACACATTCACACGTACGTACACACAATTACACGTGTCGTGTGACCAGCTGACATACAAGTATACATATGTGTGGCAACTGGCTCACACGTCGGGGTCTCGCAATTGTTACCGATGCACAAACACGTACGTACGCGCGAGTGGAGCACGTTGTTTTAATTTTTTGTGGACTAGCCATGGAGGCGTTAAAGTGGCTTAAAGCCACGCAACCGTGAAGCTTGCACGTGGGGGCCTGATCAATTATTATATTTTTCCGCGGCCCAGCGAGCCTTAACGCGGCATGATCCGGAAGGATTCGCGTACAAGCGTTCCGTAATATTGGCGAGCGGAGAAAGCAACCATGAAAAAAGGAGGCGAATGGACTGCATCTCCGTGTACAGTGGATATATACGTGCACGTACGGTGCATTTTTACTTGAGCTCGCTGGCACCGGTTACACGTAACATTCACTTTGAGCGACTCGATATTTATGTGCAAAGGATACACACTCTCTCTCTCTCTATCTCTTTTATCTGCGAAAATCGTGAGGTAATCGAAACGAGCGCGAGACTCCAGCTCAACAGGTATAGTGGATAGTATTTAACATAGCGTTAGGTGTGCCCATTATGGCTATAAAAGGTTTAGCGATTGGTGAATTTCGACAGTAGTATCCTCCCGCAATCTACAACATTTTTTGATACATAAAAAACGAATTCTCACATGCCTGAACTAGTGCACTCTTTTGCATAATAGGCCATTGTTACGTTGTATGTTGAAGAAAGAAGTAGGTAATATTATGAGTGGCTTCACTATACGTATATGTGCTTCATTTTTGACAGTGAGCTGGATTTTTGTAGTCACTCACGGGTTTTGCCCTTATGAGGGACTATATATTTTCGGGAGAATTTTGAGACGAGCTCGTTAGCGAATTTTAATGGATTCACACAAAGGGGTATAGTGGGAGTGTACATAAAATTTCGAGATTTGTGCAGGAAGAGTTTTCGGATGCATTGCTGGAGACTCAAGCGTAACGAGGGTTTTCTATTTTTTTTTTTTTTTTTTTTTCCTTATTGTCAGTCAGTACAAAAGTTTGTTTTATATCTATTCCAATGGAAAAAATTGTTTTTTCACGAATTATTATAATTAAATAATTTTATGTTGTATTTTTCTCTTTTAATGGTATGCATGTTTTCTTAAAATGAAACAGTATTATAACCGAGAGCACTTGATTTATTTGATTTACTATTTTCTCAAAAAATACTGCTGTTCAATATGTGTTTATACAAATTATTCGAATTTTTTTGATTTTCCTTAGCAGCTGAAAGTGACGTTTTCCACTTAAAATTATAATGTAAAAATAATGGCCATTTACGTCTGCTTAAAAATACGAGACATATACTTTTTCAATAAATAGTTGCCAATTAAAATTCCATGCATGGTAAAATTGCATTCAACTTATAATTTACTCAAAGTGTAATAACTAAAATCCAATAACCACTTGGACGTTTTTCAAAACATTAATTTAAATTGAAATGAAAAAAAAAAAAATAAAATAACTCATTTAAAAGCAAAAAAAAAATTCTGCGAGGCCACATCCATTTCAGCCATTTAATAAACTGCAAAAAACATTTTTCCTTCCATTGAAAAAAAAAGACAATAAATAAAAAAAAGTCAACTATCCTTAAATAAACACGAAGGAAAAGGCAAGCGTGAAAAGCTTTTAGTACCAATGAATCGAAAAAAAAAAAAAAATAAATAAATGAATCCCTTAGCGACACTTCAAAGGCACGTTAGTATGAATAAAAAGCATGTACGTCACCAGCAAATCGCCCATAAAATAAACGAGCTCACTTGCAGTGCACATACAGCAGCAGCAGTGATGAGAACTGGTCGGACGACTAATTAACGCGTGCTTCACTTTCTATACCTTCCACGGTGTAGTTTAGCAGATCAGTTTCTGCACTACATCTCTCGCATCCGTTCAGTGGCATACAAAGAAGAGAAATTAACGTTTATTCATAATTTACTAATATTTTAAATTTTAAATGTTACTAATTTATTAATAATTACAGTATACGCGAAAAATGGCCACAAGAGTTTTATTAACGAGCGACGTCTCCGTTGTAGGTAATATTGCCGGCAACTTTTAGCGAGCAGCCAGCTGCAACGACGAGCTGATGTTACTGGCCAATGGGTGTTGTATATATATGGTTATTTGTTATTTTTGCGTCGGCCAATGAGCAAGTCGGTCATTGTACCATTTGACCATTGAGCAATCGTGCGCAAGTAAGTGACGACCGGCGTTTCCTTCGCACATTTTTGTTGTAAGAACCGCTGGAGGTATAAATAAATTGAGGTTACAGGTAGTTTTTTTATAACTCCACCTTTCGATTTTTCATTGCGCAAGATAAGCTCTTTATGAGCGCAAAGACAGTAGCCTGTGCCACTGACATGCAAATAACTGAATTTGGTTGAGCATCTGCCTTCCGCTTCTTGATGGAAAAATACTTTCGAAATATATACTGCATGTAATGAAATTGCACGAGGGTGGATTTAAATTTTTCATGAATAATCAAGCCACACGTTGGACAAGTTTCTCGTGTGATTTCTCAATTTTAATATTTGTACAATTTAGGGAAAGCCGTTTGCGGTAGGTTGAGCAAGGTTATAGATTAGCAACTAGTTTTTAATGGACATAACATGTTGTATCGTAATTTTGATTAAGTTTTATCTTGGGCAATATAAGTGTCTCAGTTGCGACACAAGTTACGAATTTCTTACGATATTTAAAACTATTGGGTAAGAGTTTATACAGTCGTATCAGTAAATCAGTTTTTGCCCCATTTTTCATTAAAATGTATGATCATCCATTGATTGACATTCCATTGTTTGTAAAAACACCTCAGTAAAAAATCACTGCACTCAAAGTTTGGACGAAGAGGGTTGGAAAAAAAAGCAATTGTGGTACCCAATTAATTCATATAAAACCATTTTTTTCATTTGGCAAAGAAAAATGAGAATGAAATTTAACACGAGCAATTCCCAATAGGGTCCCCAGTACAATCAGTCAAAAGACCCGATGGGTCCAGCCACAAAAAAAAAAATGCACTGTAATTACCACCTTTGCCGTCTAATGGCCATAACTAGCGCAACTATCGCTGGGAGAAAAGCAGCTTGCGGCGACCTTAACAGTCGAAACTTCCATCGGGTATAATGGCTCGATACTTGGGGTGTTTTGCTCGGAAACACGCCACCGCGTTCTCCTGTACACCGTTACATAGTCGCGCTGATAGATCACCGTAAATACTAATGATAGGTGGGGGATTTTCTTCTTGGAACACGGTAACGATTTCGGGCACGATCAAGTGTAATTTCTCCGGTGGCTATTACGTGAAATTTGTTTGCAAATGCATGGGTATAAGGACACTTCACTGTAGGAATACGCGATGTACGGCAAGGTATACGAGAGAGAGAGAGAGAGTTTAAAACAATAGAAACGCCTGTAAGATACCGGCACTTATTGGTAAATATGTGTGTGAAATGCGCAGGTGGCACCGCAGGGGCGGTGGTGGCGTCGCGGCTGAGCGAAGTGGCCGAGTGGAAGGTGTTGCTGGTGGAGGCGGGGCCAGACGAGCCACCGGGGACGGACGTCCCGAGCATGGTGGCGATGTTCCTGGGCACGGAAATCGACTGGCAGTACCGGACGGTGAACGAGCGCACGGGGTGTCTGTCGACGGGTGGCTCGTGCAGCTGGCCCAGGGGTAAAAACCTCGGTGGCACGAGCTCGCACAACGGCATGATGTACATCAGAGGCCACGCCAGGGATTACGACGACTGGGCGGCCCTCGGCAACCCTGGCTGGACCTGGAAGGAGGTAAGTGCGTGGGAGAAGAGGCGCGGGTGGACTCGCTAAGAGGATTAAAAAGGGGTGGCTCTTGCCGTTTGAGCTTCACGCGCTGGGGCACCTGGTACTTTGGAGTCCTTCCGTGGTAAATTCGTTTGGACGCAAAGCTTCCTCTCTGGCTGTTGGGTAGCGCGTTTTTCTTTTCTTTTTTCTTGATTGAATAATGTGGAAAAGATGGAGGGAAGGATTTTTCGTAATTGACTTTGTATTCTATTAGGATCAGTCCAGCTATATTTTAAATGAACATGGGGGCGAATGCTTCAAAGAAATATTAAGTGGTTTTTCGCATCAGGAGATCTGATTTTTTTCAAGATAATTTTTTTTTCTCAAATCTGTAGTCATTTTTGTTTTAATAATAAAATCATACAAGCCAAAAATGTTTTAATGCAACATTTTTCTTATTTTTTAACATATTTTGTTGTGCTGTCGTAATGCCAACATTCACGTACATTTGCGACGATTTCATATTTTCTGTAAAAATTATGCACAATTTTTTAAAGAATTTATTATTAAATTGATTGAACTAGTTAAATTGTAGTTATTCAGTCCAAAAAAAAAATCGATGCAACATATTTGTATGCGCTAAATGAATTATTTTAAATTTTCTTTCTTCGATTCCCAGATGTAATAATAATAATTTAATTAAAAGATCAGGATTTCCAGAAAAGAAATAATAATTGCAAGAATCACTGATGCAAAAGGAGCTCTGATGAAAACAAATTACTTGTATGAGTAAAAAGGTCGATAGCCATTCTTCAAAGTAACATTACAACTGGCTAATTATGGTTGAACACGAAAAAGTGAAACATTGTATAAGGAAACAATTAAAATCAAGTAAAAACTCAAATCAATATGTATTAGAGATACGACTTGACAAATACTTTTTCACGTGGACTCATTAATGCTCAATTTAAAAGTAACGTTTTAAAGATTCACATGAGTCATTGTTGATAGCTTTTGAAGCTCTATGAATATGTAAAATTGATACTACAAGAATAACTTGACTATTAACAAAAAAAGACATGCTCAATACCAATAAAGAAAATCATTTCAAATAAGGAACTTTCTGTCATTTCCTCATACGAGTATTAATTAAATGAGTAATTTATTATACCCTTTGGTAGGAATATTCACGATAAAGCATCATGATTCTGGAGTGAGGATGGAAAGCCTCGATCAGCCGATTATTCGCTATACATTATTATCTGACTCCGAAATAATGATACCTTTCTTTGCAGGTACTTCCCTACTTCCTTTGTTCCGAGAACAATACCGAGTTACCTCGAGTCGGGCGAAAACACCATACCCAAGGTGGGCCTTTGAACGTCGAGCGTTTTCCCTGGCAGCCGGCCATCACGGCGGACATCCTTTACGCGGCGGCCGAGCTCGGCTATCCCATCAGCGAGGACCTGAACGGCGACCGGATCGTTGGCTTCACCGTGGCCCAAATGACGAACCGCAATGGCGTGCGAGCCAGCAGTGCCTCGGCTTTTCTCCAGCCCGCACGGACGAGAGGCAATTTGCATGTCCTGCTCAATGCCACGGCCACGAAAATCATCGTTGAGAATCAGCGAGCCGCAGCCGTGCAGTACTTCAAGAACGGCAAGTTCCACCTCGCCAGGGCCACCAGGTATGGGGTTTTTACGGAATTATCGGTGAAACGAGGCTTTGAAATTTTCCGGTGAGTGTATTAATTACCAGCCACGTAAAGTATGGAATTGAAAATTGAGGAATTGGTTGATTCTCGATATTAATACCACCTAGTGATATATGAAAGAGTTATGAAATGTTCAAGAAAAAAAAACTGTTGTAATGAAAAGTTTGTTAATAATTTATATTTTGTGTGAATGGAAGTGGTTCTGATCGTATCTAGAAAGAAACTACGTTGAGTTACAATACCTACGGTCTATGGTCTCGAATAAGTTATAAAGATACCAGCCGTGATAGTTGGCTGCTTTGCGTCATACGTTTCAAAGTCATGAAAAAATAAGTACATCTCCGAGCAAACGCAAATCTGTACATTGTGATAGAATGATGATTTGATTTTTCGTAAACTTTAAAACGTTTCAGAGAAATCGTAGTCTCGGGTGGAGCGGTGGGCTCACCGCATCTACTGTTGCTGTCGGGCATCGGACCCAAGGAGCACCTGCGCGAAAAGAACGTGAACGTTGTCAAGGACCTACCGGGTGTCGGGCAAAACCTCCAGAACCACGTGTCCCACACCGTATCGTTTACCATAAATGAGCCAAATGCGTACGATCTGAATTGGGCCGTGGCCACCGAGTACATAGCCTTTCAGCGGGGCCCTATGACCTCGACCGGCCTTTCGCAGATAACGGGTGTCTTGCCCTCCAGCTTCACCACTTTCGATCATCCCGACATTCAGCTGTACTTTGGTGGTTACCAGGCGGCTTGTGCCACAACAGGAGAAGTTGGAGCTCTACTGGACAACAACAAACGAAGCATTAGCATATCACCGACAAACTTGCACCCGAGGAGCCGAGGTGAGGATCGATCACTTGTTTGCACGATAAGTTGGTTGTTTGTCCACACGAACACCTATTGCTACCCTTACACGTGTAACGAGTGATCAAATTGGGGTAAAGTTGTTTCGAAAAGTACATTAAAATAATCACCACGTTGGCCTCACCAAAAGCTTGTACATCTTCATGCAAACACTTGAGATTTACTTTACTTTTATCATAATTTTCGGTACTCGCGTTAGTTTGAAACTATTTTTCTAAACATAAATCTCAAAGTAAATGGTATTACAAAAAATATTCCTGAAATTGCGGTTAATAAAGTTGCCAGAGTAAATTGCAAGGCAACGAAGCTGCACGTAATCACATCAAGCAGATAAATGTCGAGAGTACCAACTTTTCAATGATTCCAGGCGTCAGTGAACTGGTCTAATTATTTTGAACATGTACCAAATCATCGTACATTAAAACAGATGATTATAAAAAATTACTATTCCTTTGATTTCAGGTACACTTCGACTAGCCAATAACAATCCGTTCGTGTACCCAATAATCACGCAAAACTACCTAAGCCACCCGATAGACATAGCCATTCTGGTTCAAGGAATACAAGTTGCGCTTTCCTTGGCCAATACGACGGTATTGAGGAGGTACAATATATCTCTTACGAATCCACCGATTCCTGCTTGTTCGCGGTATCCATACGCAAGCAACGAGTACTGGAGCTGTGCCGTCATGCAAGACACGGGCCCTGAAAATCATCAGGCAGGCTCGTGCAAAATGGGACCACCTTCCGATTCATGGGCTGTTGTCGATCACGAGCTGAGGGTTTATGGCGTCAAGGGCTTACGAGTGGCCGATACGTCCATCATGCCAAGGGTTAATTATTTTTTTCTACATTCGTAAACTTTTTTTTTTTTTAAACAATGATTCACTTGATAAAGAAAAACATATTTCAAAGGTTACATCCGGCAATACGGCAGCACCGGCGATGATGATTGGAGAGAGAGCTGCCGCTTTTATTAAAAAAGACTGGGGCACCAAGGCCACTCAATGGTATTGAGATTTTTACAAGTCCCTTTGATACAAATTTTTGCTTCAAAGTTTCATGAAAAACTTAAATGTCCTCTAGTTCCTACTTTTCAAAAGACAATTCGCTGGATCTACTCCGGTGGGGCATCAAATATCTCAATCTAAAGGAAGACATATGGTGATTCTCACAGACTTTTTTTGCAGCAGCAACCTAGTGAAATAATCCTGCAAGCTATTGCTGATACTGTTGTAGGATGTAAAAAATGGAGCATAGCTATATTTTATTAGTTTAATAAGTGCATTTCGTATAAAATCAGTCTACAGGATAAACTTTTGAAAATAAAGTTTGGCACTTTATCAAAATCACAAAAAGTTTGTTAACAATGTAAAAATGTAGCACTTATGTAAAAACACTAATTGCACTTTTATCGATAGCTTTAAGGAAACCTGAATGTTTTGAGGCACTTATTCATACAAGGGTCAATAAGCTTTGATTTTATTCATGCGTACCGTCCTGTGCCACTTACCACTGAAATTTTTTTTTTTAAACAGTCTCACGCGGTGACACTGAATTTCATTATCACATTCGTAATCAAAACAACACAACTTGTAGCCCAGTGCTCAAAAAAAAAAAAATTTTCAGAAAAAAAATGCATTATCATTTGAAGAAATAAAAAGGTTAGGATACAAAATCATCAAAGTATTTGGAAAAGCATTAAAATATTTGATATACTTGGCATTAAAATAGTGACAAATAAAAAATTGTATTCGGGATGTTCTGTATTCGAGAAAAAAAATTTATTTTTTATTAAATGTTTAACAATCTATAAAATACTTGTTCTCAATTCTGTCAATGATTAAGTATGTTTGTAATATTTAAATTTATTAAGATTTTAATTCTGTTATCAATAGCAATTTTTAAACGTGTAAATATGTATGTTTATATGTACCTTAGCACTTTTTTATATTCAAAACGAGAGTAAAATAAAAACTAACTACGTCAAATAATATACAATGCGTTGTAAGAGTTGTAAATAAATCCATTCTCTTTGGAAATCTATTTTTTTAGTTATTTTTCCCGTCTGCTTACAAAAACTGAATAAACATTATGCAGAGTTTCTTGATAAAAGGAACGTGAGCTAATTACTAAATTTTTAAATTAAAATTGTTTTTTAACGATGACAAAACTGGTTTTGGTGGCAATCAATTCTAATGTGAACATTGCCACGATATTTCAAAAAAGGACTTACAAAGCTGATAAAAAAAAGCTCGTAAATAAAGCTGAAGTATAAAAGTTTTAGTTAGTCCTAAAAAAGTATCGCACGACTTATTCTTTTCGAAGAACAGAAAACCTCATTGACATGGTAAGTTTGTATATGAAAAAATAAAAATCAGAGACAACATAATTTTATGTTACCTAAATACCATTTGACTATGCAGTCAGCACTGAGAGCATTCGACTCATGTGGAGATCCATTTACGAATGGTCCCGTAATCAACAACGCTTGTGGTCAACTAGTATCGCAATGTACGGTATTTTTAATGCTATTAAACAGCATAATAGACAATAATGAAAAAATCAGTCGGGATTCCAAGCGCGTCACTCCTATCGAACAACCAAAATCTTCTTACGATTTTATCGTGATTGGTGGTGAGCTAAATTAAATTTTCATTTTTTAAAAATAATTTAGTATCAATAAATTGAAAAAAAAAAACAAAAAAACTTTTTCAAGCCGGAAATGCTGGTGCGGTGGTTGCTGGAAGATTAAGTGAAGTTCCTGATTACAAGGTCCTTTTAATAGAAGCCGGTCCAGACGAGCCCTACCCGGCCCAAGTACCCAGCAACTATTTCATCTATAAAGGTAGAGCATTTTGATTAAATGAGATGAATAAATCTTTAGCTGTAAATCAATTCAATTGTTTACAGAAACCATGTACGACTGGAACTACAAAACACACAACGAGACTTCTGCTTGTGGAGTGAGCGATGGAGTATGCACGTGGCCTCGAGGGAAAAATCTCGGAGGTACGACTTCTCATCACGGAATGGCTTACCATCGAGGAAATCGTAAAGACTACGAAAAGTGGGTGAACATGGGATGCAAAGGATGGTCCTGGGAAGAGGTAATTGTTTTTCTACTCAGAATTTCTCGAAACCAATTTCATTAACTAATTAGGTGTTCGATGCAGGTGCTGCCCTATTTCTTACGATCAGAAGATAATCGGGAAATTGACCGAGTGGGATCGAAACAGCACGCTACTGGGGGACCATTGCCTGTAGAGCGGTAAATTGAAATATTAAAATGATAAGTTCTACTGATCAATTGGCTACTCCTTACAGATTTCCGTGGCAGCCACGATTTGCTTGGGATATATTGAAGGCTGGCGATGAACTGGGATATGGTATTACTGAAGACATGGTTGGTGATAAAATAACGGGATTCACAGTTGCACAGACCATAAGTGACAAAGGAGTCAGGATGAGCAGTGCAGGATCCTACCTGTGGCATAACAGAAAGAGAATCAACTTGGATGTACTCACGGAAGCTTACGCCTCGAAAATCATTTTTAACAACGGGACAGCCGTTGCCGTTGAATATGTAAAGGTAAAAGTATACAATTTTACCAATTTTATTTAGAAATTACGTATTATTTTTTTTCAAGTGCCGTTTGTGATTATTAACAGGGCGGTATTGTGAATGTAGTAAACGCGAGCCGTGAAGTGATAGTATCAGGTGGGGCTGTCAACTCACCGCAGCTGCTGCTGCTGTCAGGAATTGGGCCAAAAAAACATCTTGAATCGTTAGATATTAAAGTAGTCAAAGACCTTCCAGGTGTTGGAAAGAATCTCCATAATCACGTGTCGTATGGATTGGACTTTACTGTTGACGAAGATGAAGAAGATCAACAGAACAACACTGCAGATCCATTGCATACTTACTTGGATAATCAAACGGGCCCGATGTCTTCTACAGGATTGGCGCAGGTCACAGCGATACTTGCATCTAACTACACGAGCCCCGACGATCCTGATGTCCAGATGTTTTTCTACGGGTACACGGCAACTTGCTTGAATCGTGACACGCCAAAAAAGAGGCAGATACGGATCATAGCAGTCAACTTGCATGCCAAGAGCAGAGGTACGAATGAACCGGTCTAACTTGATTTACATGTACATATGTGTAGATACGGCATCTTGAAGATTGTTGAGCACAAAAATGCAGGATATGCTGTGTGGAATGAACAAGAAAAACCTTTTTTTAGGATTTTGAAAGAATAGGAGAACAATTTCAAAAACTTTGAGCTTCTCAAAGGTTAAAACAGATTTTTTTTTCAATTCATTGTTATTCGACATTATCGTAGTAAGTAAATAATCTGTTGATGTAGCTAAGTAAAGCTTATACAGCTTTCCGAAAAGATAAAAGATTCCATTTTTTTTTTTCGTGACCAATAAAATCTCGAAAAGATTTCCGGCCGATTCTCTTTATCATGACCGTTTTGCCATATCTCAAAATAGACAAATAACACAGGCTGATAAGGTACAAATCACCACGGTTATTGTTAGTAATCATAAACGAAATGGTGTTGGTCGATACTTTCCAGGTGAACTGACACTAGCGAGCAGCAACCCGCTGATTTATCCTCTGATCACAAGCAACGATCTGCAAAATGAGGACGACGCAAAGGTTATTCTGTGGGGTCTCCATGTCGCTCTGTCCATGCCCAACACCCCAACCATGAAAAAATTAAACCTAACACTTGTCAACACTCCGATCTCACATTGCTCGCAGTTTAGATACATGAGCGACGAGTACTGGAAGTGCGCCATGAAGTGGAACACCCGTACCGAGAACCATCAGGCAGGTTCCTGCAGAATGGGCACCGACGAGCTAGCCGTGATCGACCCGCAGTTCAAGGTTTATGGCATAAAAGGAGTCAGAGTCGTTGACGCCTCGAGCATACCTGTGGTGTGTATATATTTATGTATCCATTCGATTTTTGTTTTGTGACGAGCTGTGAGTCGTAATGTCTATTTTGGTACTGGCAGATGGTTTCTGGAAATCCATCGGCTACTATAACCATGTTGGGCGAGCGAGCTGCTGATTTCATCAAGGCCGATCATCCTCCAGACAATAAGTTATTATAAAATTTTACATCCTTACTGATATTCAAAAATCTTTTGAATAATTTATTCGTTCAATATTTTTTGTAACTCTGTAATTTATTTTAAGTATTTGTGCTATGTTAACTTTATGATAACTCCTAAGTTTTCTAAGGAAATTAAAATAAATCAATGTCTCCTGTGGGTATACAAGTAAGTGGTGTACGGTTAATTTAGGTGTAGGTACACAAGAGTAATATCCATTGAATGTAGCGAATATTAATTCATAGTTTACGATTTATTTAAAAATGTAAATCTGGAAACGAGTATATGACTTGATGGTTATTAATGATTTATTTTCATATCAACTATGAATCAAATATTTTTTTGTATCACGACTTTGTTTTCCTGTAATGCTAAAGCAGTTTTTTTAAGAATTAACATAAATAATAATGAATTCATGAATAATTTGTTTAGTGTTTCTCGATAATATTCACAAAATATTTGAAGTATATAATTTAAAAAATATTATAGCATTAAAATTAACTATCATGTTAAAATTACTCATATTAACGGAGGAAACAGTAGGAAATAGTTATAGCCATAAAATACGCAAGGAGAAGCACAAATGACTCTATTTACAGGTAGTAAATTTTTTTTTAATGGTAAATACAACATCGAACATCTAGCAGGAAGCAATCCGTAGCAAGCGGTAAAACATCAACCAACAGCGGAGTCAGTATAACAGCTATTTTGAATTTCATGAGGAAAAGAGGGACAGGGAGAGCGAAACAGAGTACAATTTAAAGTCACGAAGACGACAGAGGCCTAAGGGGTCTAAGTAGAGTCTGAATAAATGCATAAAAGGCAAGAGGAGGGGCTCGCGTTATTTTGGTCTCAGCACATACTTCCTATTGCTCTTGAAAAATTGTGGGAGCTCACCGATAGCTTTGTAAATGTTTTTATGTTGTCTAATAAAATCTTTTTTGCAGCACTGTAATCAAAAGTTAACTGTCAGAATATTTTTAAGCTGCAAGTATATCAGCTTTATAGTTTGTAAAATTGTTTTCTGATGAACGCTTTTGTCAAAGGCAGACAATCATGATCAAAAACAGGATATTACATCAGTCACAAGTTGTTTGCTTCATTTATAAGTTTGAATTGATAAATTTTTGCTGCATGTATAAAACGTACGCATACTATTCAATGTTACAAGATTTTCTTTTACAACTTATGAATTAAGCTCGAGAAAAATAAAATTTTTTAGTAATCTTGATTACTTTAAGTGAAAAGTCCAAAAGAGCATGATTTTCGGAATCTTGCTAAAGACAACCACTATTGGTTACACTGCTTTATGACATTTTTTCAACGGCAGCAACAAAGGTCTCGCCCCGCCTTATTGCATTAAGAAGAATGAGATAAAAGGAGGAAAAGAAGGACGAAATAGGAGCTCAGGGTTGGCGCGAGTTTGGCGAAAGTTTGCTCCACTTGTCTCGTGCCCATGTAAAATAGGTCATTAGATAAAAGGCGATTTGTGCACGTAAGACTTTCGATAGAGATAAGAGGCTGGGTAGAGAGGCACGAGGTTGAGGAGAGGAGGTACAGACGACCGTGGAATAATGCGAGTTGTTAAGGGCAAAGGAGGGAGGGGGGAAGGCACCACGTAAGACACTTTGCTCGGCAAGCTTGCCAAAACGTGATAACAAACCCTGAGGGCGATAACTCTCCGTTGGTTCTACTCTTTCCCTCTCTTTCTCCGAGCTGTAACGTTGAGGTTCCAGCCGATTAGGCTACTCGTGCAAACTTTCCTTACACCTTTAATTTTAATCTAATTTTACTGCTCTATGCATTTTTTTATCGAGACTAGGCTAATTTTGTAATTTGTAGTAATTGCAATAGCTTAGATACGATAAATTTTATAGTTTTTTCCGGTGTATGCAGTATGTTTTTGAGCTTAATTTCTACAGTAACTCATATGACCGAGATAAACCTAGCATTGATTTTCTTTTTCTTGAGATTTTTTAGTTTTATATTGTAATCGATAAATTTATATTATTTTGTATAAAATAAATTTCAAATAGTCTATAATATATTATCTTTATTACCACACATCTGTTACCACTTTCAATCATTTAAGTAATACATTCATTACGCAAACATGACTGTCTAATGAAAGATATAGAAAATATAATATACATTTGTAAACGTTTTGACCAGAGTAATAGAAGTAAATAATTGTCAAACGTTAAATCAACTCACGGCGCTCATTACGTATGATAATGGCGTTAAGATACGACCTGAGAATATATAAATTGATAATAGCCGTGAGATAGGGTAAGTATCCCAGGGAGCAACTGAGCGCTCCTTTGAGAATTGCGTCCGTAGGAATTTACTCACGTGTGGGGTACCTTTTGATGCAATAAATGTACAGAAAAAACTTGTCTCTTTTTACTCATTGTTGACAAAAATTACATTCTCATATTTTTTTTACTCTGAAACAACATTCTGAAACTTGAAAATAAGTTGAATAGGAATCAAGCTTCAAGAAATAATTTACAGCGTATGTTTTTAACAAAACCAAATATTTTTGATCAAAGAAATCAATTACTAGTATTGGTCTGTTGGAACACAGACAAAAAATTAAAAAATTATTGATTTTTGACAAAGAACAGAATTATACATAGAAATGTCTGTAAGCCTAGGCTCCAAAATTACGTCAATCCCATAATACAATCAGTAAAGAGTACATTATTCCGTGTACAAATTGATGTATGGATTTTCTTATTGAATTTTGTAGAACAATTGAATTTCAAACAATAATAATTTGTTACTTACCGCAAACATTTGCAACTACATAAAGTTATTGAATCATAAAAAATGTCACGTATTGTTAGAAATGTGCCAAAATTCACTTGAAATTATTAGATGCCGACTTTATAAACAAAATATGTATAGCATGAATATAAAATTGTCATAGTATATAAAGCTACGAAAAATATATGTTTATTTTCTAAAAATCTATTTATCAGTGTAAAACACGACTTTCCAGTAAAAATGATCGTCTGTAGAGATTAACAAAATTTTACGGATTGATCCAACTAGTTGATTGTTTTAGTACAATCTTGTATCAGCCATCAGTAATCATATTGATGTACCAGCCGGCAAACCGTATAACAGAGTGTATAAGGGACGCGAAAACAGTGAATACAACGATCGTGCTATACACAGTACATATATACGTGCCTTATCACATGATAATCGGTGCGCCGTTTCAAACTTCATGTCGATAGTGTAACTCCTCTTTCGTGATTTCAATTTACGTTCTTTAATATGAGCACACATGTGCGTAATGTGTGTTCCAGACACGACTATTATCCATAAAAATTTATGGCTGAATCCACATAGGTTTAAAGGCTTCGATTTTTTAAATGCATTATTGACGCAATTTTGGTGAATATCACATGCCGTATTTTCAAAAGGGTTAAAAAAAAGTTCAACAAAGACCTTATGAATAAAAATCATAAATATTTATTGGCCTAATATCTTGACACCCCAATTTAAGGTACACCAGTAATTGGAATAACGTAAAAAAATAAATATAGATGAATAATTTATATAAAAATTAGTTTATTTTTGCATGAAATCTATAAACTGTGGCAAAATTAAACTTCAATTTACAAAGTATCACAAGTTTCTAGGAAAAAGGACAGCCGAAGAAAAAAAAAGGAAACGGAGGGGAAAAAAGGATCGCAGGTGGTATTAAAGTAGGCGAGCATCGAGCGTAATCGAATCATCGCGATTGAGTGAATTCATACCTTACGGCATCACGTTTCGGCGAGCAGCAACCGAGGCTGAATTTATAAGTAAAATAAGCTGACGCTCCGAAATATCGTGCACCCCCTACGTTCACCTCACCCACACTTCTGGATAAATAGATTTGCAGACTCGAGGATATTATTTTTTTCGTTCGAAAGTGTAATACACATTATTATCGTCGCCGTAGCTTGTACCACGTGTAACATATACACACGAAGCCACGTGTGCGTGACTCTTGCCCTTTTTTCCAATGTATACGTGGGAACAATATTAGAGGTCAGGTGTTAGTGTGAAATCCAGTAGAAATAAGCTAGTCGACATTTATTGAGATTCAAAATGCCCACGCAAATATTGCATTACGATTTCACGAATTTACTGAATAATCTAGATCATAAACTATAGTTGAAAGTTAAAATAAATTTATTTGTTTGCTTCAATTTGCTTTTCAAAAATTGAAAAAAATCACAAAAACTTTTGTATGCTTACAGCTTCAATAGCTGATTAACGTTGATTAGTACTCGTTGGTACAATTATGTGACTTCACCTCCTATCAATACTGGTGTTCCCGTGTAAGTAACAAAGCGTATTCCAAAATCTTATTGTTTGATTTCAAAATTAGCAAAATAACACATGGCATGTTAATACGTTCTCCTCTTTCATCCAAACCGGGAACAGAGAGAAATACTAAAACAAGTACCAATAATTGGATTCTCATTTTAATTACGTTGTTAACAAATCACACAAGTCGATGTGTTTTCATGATGGATCGACTGGCGAATAAACTAACTTAAACAAAGTGCATCAACTAATTGAGCCACAACAAACAATGCTTAATTTACAACATCGGATTTCATGTAACTCCTCGTTGAGTCGACCGATTCGTACTTCAGCAGCTTGTTTTGTTATAGCGAGAACGTATTATTAATTTGAAAAATTCGCTTGAAAAATTAAAAGAGGTAAAATAGTTTATACAAATATTTCTCGAATCCTATTCTACACACATCTTCTAGACACACTTATACATTTGGATATTAGTTTTTACTGTAAATGGTGTCACTGCCTGTGATGACGAAGAAGCTGATAAAATTCACACACCTTTACATCCATCAAAAACTTTACTTTTCTAATAATGTTGGGCTAAAGTGAGATAGTCAGAAAGGGCCAACCTTAACTGGTGTACATCACACCTATACATATTGCACTACATCGATCGAAATGCCCGCATTAGTGATCTGGCTCGTGGTTATTGTACCCTCGAGTCTTGATTCGACCATATAGGTACATGTGTGAACAGATGCATCTGCAGTTTGCCTGACTGAATTAGTTACCACCTAGGGATGCAATAGCATAGCTCACACGTATTATATGGAGGAGAAACAACACTGCTAGGAAGCTCCAAACTCAACACGTAAAGGAATCCTCCGTTTGATGAAAATGATTTAAAAAATAAAAAAAACTTGGGGTTTGGCTACGGTCGGGTTGTAAAACTATTTTTAAGTAACATATATTTATGTTATGTACATCACTTCAAAAATGGCGTGACAAAGGGACAAAAAAAGATACTACAACGACGTTGATAAAATCATCTCAATGCCACTATGTCACGCTTATTACAAGCATTTGAATAAAAAATGGCTCATTGCCTCATTAATTCACCACAAAACTTCTAAGTGGCTCTTCTCGACTTGCTGTGCAAAAAACTCGCAACCTTTTTCATCATTGTACCATCAAAGTTCAGCAACGCAATACACAGAGCTCGCGCCGTTTATATTGCGTGTAATTAAATCAATTGAGGTCTGTACCCCATTCCTCTCCCTCCCCTCTCTGTGTCTCTCTCATCTGATCTAGTACGCTCGAGCGTAATTATTATCATAGTGTAGTACACAAGTGCGGCTCTCACGCTTATTGTTTGCATAGCTCGCGTGCACGAAACGATAACAACGAGGACGACGACGATTTTCAAGAACGGAATGCATTCGTGAAATATATTGGCTGTAGTGGTGGAATTAGGTCTGATACGTTAACTGTCGGCTTCTAGGAAAATATTACTGTGACCGATCCCTCGCGTGGGTCAGTTTTGTTTGTTTATTCTTTTCTCCCATTACATGATTGAGCTACTGGAAGTTTTCAGAAAGTACACACAGGGTAGTCTGTTATTTCCTAAATTTTATTTTTCATGTAGCT